GTGAAAATTATCCAACAAAAAATGCAGAATTATGGATGAAATGGAAAAGAACGAAAGGAATGAAATTTCAATGATGGAACAAAAATTAAAGAGGATAGAATGGAAAAATATGGGATAATATGTACTTGAAAGCTCATATTACTGTAATTGTAAGGCTGATAGTGTTGTTCTCATCTGTCCAAATTTCTGATGATCGATGTTTGCAATTCTCACATTGCAAAATAGAAGAAATGAGACGAATAGTATAAAGAAGCGAAATTGTTGGACGGCAAATTGATCAAACATAATTTAGCAATTAATGTGGAACATAATTGATTTAATAAAATAAATAGCAATGATAGGGTGTATTGAAGCTTTAAAATTGACAGCAAATAATTTCATAAATTTTTGTGATATTTTCAAACCAATACATCATTTTAAACAAAGTATTTTATTTAAAAATATTTGTTTCGATTCCGATTTGTTACAATTAATTTGATTCCCTAATGATGTTAAAATATTCGATTTTTGCGATCAAGTCATTCTGTCTGTCTGCCATTTCATGGTTTTATTTTTTAATTGTAATCTGCATTCGTTTATCCTAGTTTCTTACGTTTAGTCTTCGAAATTTTAACTTTTTTTGCAATGCAAGGACAATTTACAAAATCACTCAACGAGAAAGTTTGGTTAAATTAAAATGAATGCGAGAATTATCGAAAGAGAGCGGAAGAGAAAGAGAAAATTTTGAACAATTTCAATATCTTCTGGTTCAAAATCAATGCGGAATTCTTTTGTCTTTTGTTGGTAATTGCTGTATTCAATCACATTATTTTACACAAAAAATTTACTGCACTGTTTTATTTTATATTATAGACAGTATGTCGCGATAATTCCCGGAAATCGCTATTCCTTCCTGAAAATAATTGAAATGATATATTAGAAAAAGAAGTGAATAGTTTCTGAATAGGATGGGATGAATATAAATGTGGTAGAATTTTTGAAATTTCCATTCGGTACGATAACTTTTTTTTATTTATGCTTTAAGCATGGCAAAATGAAGTTGGACAGGACGAACACGGAGAATTTGCAAAGATTTTAAATAAATTAGGAAATTGGGAAAAGGAAGAGGATAGAGAGGAATTTAATGGGAAGGCGGGGGTGGGTGGAGGCTGAGGCAAAAATTCTCATACTTTCTCATCCTTTGCAATTTATTTATTCATTTTTCCTTCAGTTGGTATCGTACTTTTTGGTCGCTTAGATTTTTGTAACAAATATTTAATTCAAACATTTTGCTGAAATTCTGAATGATTTATGGGTGACCAAATTGAAATTTTGAATTTTGTGGTTATATTGAAAAGTTCAAAATTAATATTTTAAATTTATCTAACAATTTTATCCGCGTTATAAGTTGTAATATTATTCCGTAAATCGAAAAAGTGTTTTTCCAATCAAATAACACTTTTATAAATTTTTCTAATTTTGAAAAAAAGGAAGTAAATTATATATTTCATTTGAATTACAATGCATGCTATTTGCAGGAAAATTATAATTCCGACGTTTAACTTTTAAAATTAGCAATTGCAAATATAAGACAATAAAGAGAAAATAATAAAAATATAGCAGTAGAAACTAAGAAGAAATAAATAAAAATATAGAAGGATAAAAATATAAAAATATAACAGTAAAATCTAAGAAATGAAAACATTGTTTAGTTGCTTATTCTAATTTTTAAAATTTTAACATTATAATAAATTATTGTTCAATTCTAAACTAAAATTTCATTCGTTTCTTGAATAAAATTTTTTATTATTAGGAAAAACAATTAGTAATTATAACTATGTAATCGTTCCGAATGTTTATGTTTCAAATTAACGTTTAATAATAAACTTACCGAATATAATACTTCTAAGTGCTTCTGTGCTTCTGTATGAATTTAACATGTATTAACAACCTTATTGAATTTAATAATACGAGGTGCATCTGCGTGGAATCTAATGTATTAACAAACTTACAAAACTTGATCATTCTTAATGCTTCTACGTGAAACTAACGTTAGTAATAAATGCTTGCGAAATAAACTGTCGGATTAACTTTCATGATTAATTTATTTCTCAATTAAGCTGGCTTCAAATGATTTTTGTTTTGTTTCAAGGAAATTTTAATTGAAGTGTGTTTATTTGACATTCATTTTAGAGTTCATTAAACTCTCAATGAGAAATAAGAATGAACGTAAGCTTGCACGAAAGGAACGGAAATGCAAATGGGAATCATTTAGGCTTAAATTAGATCTCGAATCATTCAAATGTTATTCATTTGCTACGTAAATAATTTTTCGCATTTTTCGCTTAGTTGAACAAAGTTCATTGGGAAGACGGTGGTAGTTTGAGAAGAAATATGAAGCATTTTAGATGATAATGTAATAAATTTACTTCATATCGAAATTGTTCTAACACTTTTAGCAGTTATTTTTAGATATTATTGAGGTTGAAATTAGATTTTTGAAGTATTTAAATGAAATCGATGCTCGGAGTTAAATTTATTTGTGTATGTTATAAAATAAATTATCTGCGATCATATTTAAGCAATTTGGATCCACAAAAAGTTGAAAATTCCTATTTTTGCAAATTTTTAAAATTTGCTTTACTTTTTTCTTATGATACAATTTCCTGGAAATTTGAAACTTTTAAGAATAAAATTTAAAGGAATGAAAGCTAATTTCACTAGCTAAATGTAATTCCACATTCGAAATATTTCATTCCTATTAATGGTTGCTGTGTGATATGTATTTATGCAAATATAATTAAATTTTAATTACACAAAAAATCTGGAAGCATAATAAAATTTATATGGTTTTCTTGCAAAAAAAATCACGAAATTATTTTTTTCTCACTTGCTCATATTTACTAGTAATATCATTTTTCACATATAGTGTTGAATTATATAACAGTTCAGGATTACTTGCATATTTCTTTGTTTTTTCAAATAAAAAAATTAATCTTTCTAAAATTAATCCTTTTAATCTTTAAAATTAATCTTTTTTAAAATAGTTTCTAGAAACTTATCAATTTTTATGTATTAATATATCATTAATAATTCCCGGTTCATTGCTACCACATCATCTTTTTTCAAATCTTAGTTTATGAATTCATCAATTAACTCATCGGTGCATAATGTTGTAAAAATTTTTTAATACCAGTAATTTCACGTTGTATCTCAAAAAATGACATTTAATTTGGAATGGCATTTAAATTTAGATTGAATTCCTCAAGCATTTATAACTTCATATAACTCGTGATTTTTTTCATTTAATCATTATGTTGTTTGTAATTAATTAAATATGTAAATTTAGAAATTAATAAAATCATCCAGTGCAATGTGAATGGATTATTTCAACTATTATCAACGCCCTATTTATTATTATTCATAAACTATCAGCATTATTGCACTTATTGATTTGTTTATATGTTGAAATATCAAAAAACAAAAAATTATTTCCTCCTTTCTGAAACTGTCGTCTAAAAATTGAGTCGAAGTATTTCAACTGCTGCGGTTGCTGCAATTTTTGTGGCAAACGTTGGTCAGTAACCCGGAAGCAATTCAAATTCGTAGTAGTTGGTGATGGAGCATGCGGGAAAACAAGCTTAATTATCGCTCAAGCGGGAGGTGAATTCACTGAGGAATATACGCCGACAGCTTTTGATGATTATGCAATCGAGGCGCTTGTAAATGGAAAAACGGTATGCACAATAAAAAACAAAACAATTATTTCCATCAAAATTTTTCATTGAATGAATTTCGAAAAATGCATTATATTAATTTAATTATTCAAAACTGGCTAGCTTTAAATAAAATTTTCTAATTTTTAAATTAAAATGTTAAAAAATTTATAACATAAAGTAATTTGCCTACTGTTTTTAAGTAGTAAAAATTAGCCATATTTCATTTATGGTTTTTTGTTCAAATTTTTTAATACATTTTTTCAACATTGACCAAAAGATTTAAATCAAAATATGACTTAAATCATCGAGTTCTCGATTCTTTAATTCTAAACTTTAGAAACCATTTTCAATTAAAAAGCATAATTTAATAAACTACACAAGTGATAATTAATTAACTTTATTTTTAAAGATAAAAAAATTATAGAAGGTATTAACTGTATGCGATACAGCTGGTGAAGATGATTATAATAGCCTCAGACCGTTAAGCTATCCCGACGCCGATGTCTTCATCGTATGCTATTCAGTGGAAAGGCCGGAATCATTAAAAAGTCTTCAGGAAAAATGGATACCTGAGGTTTGTTGTATTTTTTCTATTACATATTACTTATTTTATATTTTTAATTAAAAAATAAACGATGAAAATTTGTATTATAAAATTTTTTGGCCAAATTTTAAATCAACCAAATGAAATTTGAATTTTTCAAGTTATTAACGGTATTGAAAGAAACTTGACTTCAGATTCGACGTTTTTGTCCGGATGTTCCAATCTTAGTGGTTGGAAATAAAAAAGATATTCGAAATGAGGTGGAACGAGAACGTCGGAAAGAACGTAACGAAAATTCCGCACATAAACATTTGGTAAATTTTAATGATGCAATAGCATGCGCTAAAGAATTTTCCGCTCATCGAGTAATCGAATGTTCAGCGAAAACAAAAGAGGTTAGAGTGTTAAGTTCACTTAACTTTACATTTTTTTTTTAATTGTGCTTGAAAACTAAAACTAACAATTAATCAATTATAAATTACACTTCATTGTTTTTTTCATTTCAATACTAAAAAATAATAATTGTAATTGATTAAAATAGTTATGATCTTTTTTAGATTTTTTTTAGTTGAATTAAGAAAAATAATTATTGTAGTAATGATAAGATATCACTATCAAGATTAGAACAGTGTTTGCAATATCATATTGTAATAATTAACTGCATCGTAAATTGACAAAATAGTAATAATAATTAGATAAAAATTGATAATCAATTATTTACAGCAATTAATTGCGAAAATTGTAACATTATTAATAACAATTTTGTAGTAGTTATTGTTCCACTGGCCTGTCCAAGGATTCATGCATATTTCCATCATATTAATTAATTAATGCAATATACCAATGGATTAGAATCTAGTTTTATTTCACTGATATATCTCAGATAACAATTAAAGTTATTATTTTTAGGGTATCCGACAAGTGTTCGATGCAGCAATTCGAATTGCTATAGCACATCGGGCTGGAAATGGTAGTCGAGCACTAAATTCGATTATGAAATTAAAATTTGTTTTTTGATCCGTCCTTTTTTGGTGCTCTGTTGCGTTTTGTACTTTAACTTCCTTATATTTTTCTTTCTATTTAAAAAAAAAAAGAAAAATGAGGCAATTATATAAGTGACATTAACATTCAAGCGATGTGACATGATTCACTTTCATCAATTCAACTATTGATCATTTGAATAATTATGAAATCTGAGCTAGCAAAAAAAAAAAATAATTAGCCAAGAATACGAACATATCTTGCTAACACAATATTGACATTTTAATGAAAATTTAATTTTGCGAAAAATACTTCCATTCATTTCTGTTCTTCAAAAGTGAAACAAAATTCTTTAAATTAACTGAAATGCGTTCATTTTTCTTTTCAAAAAAATTTTTTTGTATATATTTATATCATCATTTTATTTCTGTATATAACATGTGGTATCGATTCTTGAAATTTTAAAGATTTTAAATTATTCTAATGCATTTTTATCTTAAAATTTTTTTTGCTAATTTCAATCAAATGCGTGCAACGACAGCGAATGTCGTCATACAAAACCGAAATCGAAAGAACAAAAAAAAAAAATGAATTAAGCAAATTTCGCTTTTCAATCGTAAACAAATTGCATAGGTTTTCTTTTCTTTGTAAACATCCTTCAGTTTTTCTTTTCTGAGTTCTGTCATTTTTGAAAAAAAAGGAAAAGCAATTTTGACACATAATTTCCTATTTTGATAGTGAAAGAGGGAATGTTGGTGGAAGTGATTGTAAAAAGAAGTCAAAAGAAATAAAATTTGATATAAATATAATTACCAACATATTCATACCAACTTGCTTTCTGCTGTATTGTTTTTGTTTACTCATCTTTCTTCTTTTTTTATAATTACTTCAATGAAAAAGATAAGCAGTATTTCATATAATTTTAACTTATTAACTTAAAGGTGAAAAGTTGTTTTGATATAAGCTATTTTAACACCAAAATATCAAATGAGATTCATGAAAGATTTCGTCCGTCTCATATTATAAATAAATTAACGTATGTGTCACTTACGTATCTTAACGTTATTAAGTGATTTATTCTTACTTTTCCTGTACTAACTTTCCTTTCTTTCTGGAAACAATTTCAAATATTTTGGATGTCTTTTAAGAAAAAAGAATGAAAATTCACAGATAAATTAACAATTTTCATCAACTGTATCAAGTTATATATTCTTTTACCAATAATTAATATTTATTTCTATTTCTTAACTGCTGTTTACGAGAGGGTTAATCAACTGAAGCCAATGAATATTAAATTACCACTACATTCTTATCACATTCCACCGTCCGTTTTATATCTTTTTAACATCTTTTTTTGATACTGCAAGAAATACAAAAATGAACTTTCATCAATTTAAAATTTCGAATTTCAATTTTTTCTTTCCGATTGTATGTAAAATATATAAGGCTAATTTTAGAAATTATGAGTTAAAGTTTTTAATGACAACTGCAAATTACACTCATACAGTAACTTGTAATAACTGTTAATTGCAATAAATGTCTTTTCCAATAACTCTTATAAGAATTGATCCATTACAATTATAAAAAACTACAAAATTTATTTTAAAAATGTGAGAGCCGGAAAAGAACTTAATAAAGATGTTATTTCATCACTTTTTTTTGTTTGCAACAATCCTTTGTATTCAATATTTATTATGATTTGATAGCGCATTTCACATGCATATATGATCGGATGAAGCAATTAAAGTGATGCAATTAATATCGTTCATTGGAGAAACTTATCGTTTTGTAATTCATTGTGCTTAATGTTTTCGAATATTCACCAAGAAGATAACCAATATTATGTAACTACAAATTGGTGAAAACACAAATTTCATTTCAGGATTAGCAAAATTACATGCTTTTGCGCAGTAGCTTATTTCGTGGCCTAGTAATGTTAAATTCACGTATTGTTGCTTGAGCCATCGCGCCAAGCAACACTTCAGGACATGATACGAACGCGATATTTCTGTTCCCATATCGATTGCACAACGACGTTACCTGCAAAAGCTACAGAAGATGAGGAAATTTGAATATTAATAACTAAGAAGGTTGTTCAAACCCAGGATACTTTTTCAATTTCCAGTAAAAAATAAAGTAGGTAAATGAATTACACTAAGCACTAACTTTTTCCTTTAAATCTTGTCGTTCTGTAACCCAAATCGTATAAACATTACATGGATTACGTCCTAAGCATACTTCTACCATCGGTAAATCAGATTCGCTGTCACCGCATACCAAAATATTACCATCGGATAATTTACAACGAATATGTTTAACCATTAATGCAATACCGTGACCTTTATTGAAAATTATTCCATCTGAATTCTAAAAATGACAAAAAAGTGCAAAACAGATAATTCCATATTCCGTTTTACAATAAAAACTTTCTAACTACATATTTCTTGGAACAAAAAAAGAATGAAAACATTGATCACTTTTATTCTATTGATTTTCAACAACTGTTTAATTTATTCGAATTGATCAATAAGTTGATATAGCAAATTATTCAAATCGATTTTATCATTCTTTTGTTCTAATACTTCAACCGTCACATAATCTTTGTGATTGATAACTTCAATTATTAATAAAACGGTGTAACTCTACGAAAGTCATTTCAAAATAATAAGAATCTTGAAAACTCGAAAATTTTTGAGGTTTTTAACTAGTATTAAATTATAGTCGCATTATTTAATTCGATTATCTATAAAGCAAACCTTCAGGAATATTTTAATATCGGTATTTCCTTCATTTACTATCAGTTCTCGTCGCATTCCATCTATCTCGTTCACAATTTCGTTAACTTTCTTTAGTCTTAAAATTAATATTTAATACTGTGAGTTTTGAAATCGAATCTCAAAAGTAATGAAAATGCAATAGCATTTATTTTTCGTCACTGATAGAACATTAATTTATCAAAATAAGAAACAGCCATTTAATTCCTAATAAACATGCCATAATATACTTATCGACTTGCTAATGAGGACTTCACAGGATCAGTCATTAAGGTGATTTATTTTATCGACTGGTAAATAAATAGGTAGCTTTCGTATCATATTTATTCATGTCTTAGTTTTTCTCTTGTTTGCTTTTTACATAATTAAAACGATTGCTGCAACGACTATTCCATACGATATAATCAAAGAAGTTTTGACATTAAACGATCGAAAATAGTGAAAATAATATTTTCTAATAATTACATTACAAATGGATGTTAAATAAAATCATTTCATTTCATTTCATAAATGAACGCTCCATTAGATTACATAATATGTTTCATTAAATGATATATATATAAATAATAAATAAAGTATCAGATTCCAGAAAACTCATTTAATTATTACAATTATTTCGATTTTAAAGCAAGATTTGTCTTCATTTCAGATTTTTATCATTAGAAATAAAAGAGCTTTCACTGACGTTTTTCTTTTTAAATGCATAAATATAAAGTATGATTTGAATTTTCATGTCATATTTTACTATTTCTCCGACTGTTCTAACTTACTACACTGTCACTGATGTGAAACATTTACGTTAAACATCAAAAATGACGTTTAATTTTCTACATCAATAAGTTTGCAACAAAAAACATTTTGTAAAACAAAGAGAACAAACACTGGTCAAACATTATGAATTGATAAAAAGACCAATTTATTTTTTTTTATAATTCATGATAATATTAAAATAAACAAACAGAGATTTGGATTGTTCGACTGGCACTGAATTATACATGTCTTGATATGCAATTGTCAAATGACCATAATGTTTCTGTAGGCCTGATCCGATGCATTTGAAATATTTGTATTCCTGGGTGTTTAGAAGTTCCTGTATGGTGTCGTACACCTAAAAAATATTGTCATTCTTGTCACATAGCTGAACATTGAAAATTTCGAGCATATAGACTCTAAAAATTGATTATTAATTACATCATCGTAAGAATTAAAATTCTTTATTTTCAAAAGCTTAAATAATACAAGTTCGACCGAAAATACCAAAACTTGTGAAATATGCCTTATCAAGAAACCGCAATTGTTCAGCAGTTACACTGAGGTCATGAAATTTATTGCGCGGATCAATGAACCATTCTCGTCCAGCAGAAGCACCATAATAGTAGTAGCCTAAAATCTCTTTTTTTTAATTAAATCAAATTGAACTATCAAATTAAACCGAAAATATTAGAATATAATTGAAAGTAAGAAAAGACTGAAACATAAAGGATTGTTTAACGACACGCAATAATTTTTATATAATTTTTTTTTAATGGATACATACCCTCAGGCATTGTGCTTACATCCAATATTCCAACACCCATTAATGGTGACGTGGTGATAATTGCACATGTTTGGGCGCAACGTCTGGCAAACTGAGCCTGAAATTTTTAACTGATTAAGAATCTTTAGGACATTTTTTCAAAAAAAAACAAAGAATTTGAAATTTACTGTTTCATTTGCAAAAAACGACGAAATAACAAACAGCTTTTCTAATCAATATATTACACAGAAATTTGAAGTGATTTGAAATGCATAAAGTAAGTGTACGATTCACAAAATAGTTTAGGTATAATGTTTTTTAAAAGTATAAATACTGTAGATTTTGCAATAGTTTTTTACAATTATAAATACTGTAGATCCAAAATATAATTCAATTTCACTAATTATTTCATATTGTTGAAAAAATCTGAATTGTTTAATATTTTAATATA